CCCTCCAATTTTGGCATTTATGATGTGGGACTGTGAGTAATTCAATTTCTTGTGTATACTTGTGCACTGCGTATTTAACATTGTCCTGAAGAAAGTTGTAATGTAAACGTCAATTTTCTTGTATTATGAAATAAAGCACCTTTTTGAGATTTGAAAGCTCGAGAGTGCAGCCTGTATTCCTACTAATCTGGTATATATACATATATACATATATACATATATATTTATTAATTTACCGTATCCACCATGAAAATGGTTCCCTTGCAGTAAGTATAATACATCTTCTACAGTATTAATCATACCTAATCACTTCATGTTCAACACCTTGTTCTGCATTCTACATACTAAAGAGCAACCCTTTTCATGTGCTACCCATCAATATGTATACTTGATATGTGTCCAGTGGCAGAACTACCATGGTCGCAAGGGCTACAGCTGTGACCAGGCATGTAAAGTGAGATATTCCATCCTCCCAGACTTAGTCTATGGCCTCCCAGAAACTCTTACAACCTGTGCCCAGGAAAGTAAAATAAGTGTCCTCCTGGGGAGCATGGTTTTTACCCTGTGCACAGAAATCTGTCTGGGTTCTGGCTGATTGAGAAGTTCCTGCTCCATGAGCTGGTTCATCACCATGTGCTTTGGGGCCTTCTTTTTCCTGCTAGACTCCCTCACGATGCTGAGCAGGCTGTTCTTCCAGCAGTCCCTCAGGCCAGTCCTGGTGGGGCAGGATGAAGGACAGGAGAACGGCAAGCGGCTGGCCAGTACCCGTAAGGAGCACCTGTGGACAGCAGCTAAAGATCCCTGTGGGGGTGGTGGAGAAGAAAAGTGTGTGTTTGTCAGTGTGTGTCAAGTCAATGAAAGTGTGTCTGTCAGTGAGACTGTGTCTGTCAGTGAGTGTGTTTCTGTCATTGAAAATGTGTGTTGATTAAACATTTTGTGTGCCGATGACCTTGTGTCTGTTAGTGAGTGTATGTCAGTGTATGTGTATCAGTGAGGACATAAAAGGGGGCCCCACACACACACACACACACATATACAGTGAGGGAAAAAAGTATTTGATCCCCTGCTGATTTTGAATGTTTGCCCACTATAATTTTAATGGTAGGTGCATTTTAACAATGAGAGACAAAAATAAAAATTCCAGAAAAATGCATGTCAAAAAAGTTATAAATTGCTTTGTATGTTAATGAGTGAAATAAGTATTTGACCCCTTCGACTTAGTACTTGGTGGCAAAACCCTTGTTGGCAATCATAGAGGTCAGATGTTTCTTGTAGTTGGCCACCAGGTTTGCACACATCTCAGGAGGTATTTTGTCCCACTCATTTTTGCAGATCCTCTCCAGGCCATTAAGTTTTCGAGACTGACATTTGGGAACTCGAACCTTCAGCTCCCTCCAAATATTTTCTATGGGATTTAGGTCTGGAGACTGGCTGGCTTGGCCACTCCAGGACCTTAATGTGCTTCTCCTTGAGCCACTCCACTCCTGCCTTGGCTGTATGTATGTATGCAATATTATTTTATTTGTAATTTATAAAGAATTGATTTGGAAGCATCTTAAAATATTCCTGCATTATAAAAAGCAATACTATGGTTCTAAAAGGCCATAGTCCTCCTACCTCCATAGTGCATAATCTGTTTCCTTTACCAGAAATGAAAACAGAAAACAAAACATTACTACATTTAAATTACCTGCATCCTTTGAACGTTTTTATTTTTGAATCTTTCCCTAATCCTTCATGTAATAATGATGTATCACAAGATACAAATCAAATTATTACTATGAAATGCAGAAATAGCTTAAGGAAATTTATTTCACTACTTAATTATTTCAAAATGTGGAAATCTAAATTACATAACTCATTTTCTGAGACTTCTTGAATCACGTTTGTGGTATAACTTGGTATTTATCAAAAAAGTAGCATAATCTAATTGGAGTACTTCATCCACACCTTTGCAGTTTGAAAACTTGACAAATTACATTTATCCAGATTTCTATCCGCATAAATACAAGCATACATCCATGTTTATAGCATAAATGTTCTTTTATTACAACATAAGCACAACTCAAAATTTACGAGCAATTACTAAAGAAATTGGTGAGAAAAATTCAGATTGAGACTTATTTATGATCTTTAGCTGTGCAATTCATTAACCATATTTATAAATAAAAGCAGCAAGCTTTGCTGAAAGTTAGCACCCTATGATTTAGAAGTATAAAGTTCTCTTTTTTTCAGCTAAACGGCTGTGTGTTATTGTATTATCATAAATATAGCTAACAGCCTAAATCCAAGTAAAGCTCACAGTAATTTAGATGTTTCTAATGGTTGATTGTTTGGTCTTATTCAATCTATCTCTAAATTAGAAACAATTCAGATGTTTAATTTTACTAGAAAATGCAGATGTTATACTTGTTGTGAATTGTTCTTATTATATATTTTTTATTTTTATCTCACACCAATTATTAAAAAAACTGTAACAATTCCATAGTAATTTTTATTAAAAATATATTTGTGACATGAAAAAAATTTGCATATTCTTTTTTTGCCTATGTATATTTGCTTTAACATCTGCACAAATACTTATAAAAGCAGATGCCACATTAGAAAAGTCATAAGTAAAGTATAAATTGGGTTTTGGGGTTGTTTGAACAGCAGGTAATGTTCAAACGACCGTGCACAATTAGACTTGTGCAAGGTAAGCATTTTTGGTTCTGCTGAATATATTTTTCCTAAGACATAACATTTTTTGGGACACCCAACATTTGGTTGGATGTTGGAGTGTCTCTGCCAATTCTGGAACCAGATATGTAGAACAAACAAAAAAGGTGTGAACATGGGCTAATCAGTGTTGCCATTTGATTCACAGGTCAACCAAAAAAGGAGGGAATATGTGGATTAATGGGGAGCAGCAGTAAAAAAAACAATGTTTATATACAATATATATTTATTTAATATATTATATATAAATATAGATTTTTTTGTAGATTTCTTTTTTTTTTTATTCTTTATTTTGTTGTGCTTAAGGATACATATAGGCTTATTTCGCCACGACAGCTTGAGCAAGCAACACAGTAACAATCACAATCACAATCTTGGCATAACAAACAGCACATTTTTATAGTTTAGTGTAGTCAAGTTAAAAACATCATTATATGTCACAAGACCTGCGTAAGACCAGTGAGTTGGGACGTGTATAGCTATGACTGAGGTCTTGAGCAGATCAATAATAGGCGAAGTCTAGAGCTACAATATGAAGTCACTCAAATCTATGAGACATCTCAGGGTGAGGTGGAGATGGGAGTAGTGCACTGTGCTTGGGGGGGGGGGGGTGAGAGTAGCACACCCTCATGTCTAACCTGGCTGCATTGTGTTCATGGGTAAGTCAAGAGCTGTCATTTTTCTGTTATCATCTCCCTACTTGGGTTGTGGTGTGAGTGTTACGTGGTGGGCTTTAGCATATGCCCTGACTGTCCCTAGGTGGACATGTATGTGGCGTGTGTTAGGGCTCCGTTTCAGTGGAGCAAAGTCGAGTTACGACCCCTTACCTATGGGTGTCCTGGGGGGTATCTAGACAGGCAATAACTAGTTAGCATCGTAAGTCTGAACTGCTCCCTTGTACTAAAGAAGACACAATACTTAGTTTCCAATAACATATAAAATTCTAACAAAGTGAGAAAGGAAACAGAAAACATAAGAAAAAACAAACCAAAAAAAAAAAAGTTAGATATCATATGGTGAGATAGAAACTGGTGGGCTGGTAGCTTCAGCGATGCTGTGTGGGCCTCATGGTTCTGCATGGTGTTTGTTTATGTCACCACTGTTGTGTTCTGCCCTACTCTAGGCATGAATGTGACCGTTCTCTCAGGGTCTCATGTATGGAGTGTGGACGTGAAGGGTGTCTCTTGGGCCCCCGTGTTTTGTGAGAGTCCCAAGGTTTGCAGGAAAGCGTGGGCATCTGCAAGAGAGATAAGTTCCAGGGCAGTGTCATTCCGTACCTATCCTTCATATCCATGTGGCAAAAACAGAGATAATTACCTTCCGAAGATCGAGGGGAGTGCTGCTCAGCGGTCCTCTGCCATGATGCCTGGCTTGTGCGGCATGTTGGTGCACACTGGCTGCTGCAGATCCATGCAATTATATAGCCCCACGCCCGTCAACGGTAAAGACGATGTCGACGTGTGGGTGACGTCAAGCAGAAGATGCACACGCACGTTTTATGGTTAAGGGCTAGGTACAGCCAATCTGATCTGCAAGAGGGTTATTTAAACTCACTTATTCCTTAGCTCATTGCCCTGCCTTGGTTTCCCTTAGATGGTTATCTAAGTGTTCCTAATTGTGTTTTTCTGGTTTTTGACTTTAGCTTCATTTTGACTTCCCTGATTTCTGATACCCTTGACTTTTGGCTTTTCCTTATCGCTGTGTCTCGTTCTGTGTCCCTGACCTCGGCTAGTTTTCTGACTATTCTTGGATACGTTAAGTCCGGCCATTCTAATGCTCGGTGAAGACGTTACCCTTAGTTCTAGGGTGTGATACTATTCTGCGTGCTGGATCAATATAAGCCTTACAGTACCACTGCTAGCGTTCTTGGTAGCAGCCAACGGTAGTCCACCTTTGCTTGTTGCAATTGGGCGGTAATAGGGCTTAGTGACTTTCACCATTGTAGCGTGGAACGTGTGATGTCCTGAAAGAAAAGTGAGTCTGGTCGACTCAAAGTCCAGTGGGGTCTTGTTCCTGACTGCATTGAGAAAGCGCTGTTTCCCATTGTTTTCAGCTCTTGTCTTATGTCAGTTTTATCATCCTCTGTGGCCTGTACTCTTTGGGTCACCGCTTGAATCTCTGTCCATGCTAAGTTCATGTCAGCGTCAAACAGTTGCTTCATCTCGCTTATCAGTTGTCGCATATTCCACTTTGTGGCAGGCGCTAGGTCTGCAGCTCTTGAGGTGGCTGTGACTGATGGGAGCTCCCATGTCCCTCTGATGATAGTTTGAGGCTGTTGGTACTGGATATCCGTTCAGGCCCGGAGGCCATTTTGGGACCCTGGGGCCTTTGCAATAAAGTTCCTATGTCCCGAGTTTCTTTGAGGGCCCCTGCCTGGGATTTTAGGGATTTCCACACCATGTTGTAGTCAGTGAGTGGGGACCTCTTGGGTGTTGATTGGATGTCGTGCACTAGTTCTGTGTACTGTTCCATGTCAGGATCTCCGCAGGCGAAAGCATGAGGTAGGCCCGGTTTTTACATCGGGTTTTCCTGCCCTGTAAAAAATTTTTTATCTACTCCTCCTCCATCAGCCAAAATATTGACACTCCTCCCACCCCCTTGAATATGTTTGGCATTTTATGTTTCAATTAGTTTTTAATTCGGTTACATTTTGGCATGGAATTCGGGAATTCTGTAGAACTCCCGACTGTCCCAAATTGCAATTTGATCCAAAACAAACCCATAGTCTAGTAGTTACCATGTGCATTTGACTTCTTTAAATTTGATAAGGATTCACCAATATGAGGGTACTTTGATGAAGTTATTTACTTGATATGACCAAATTTACTTAAGATAGATGATTTAAAGTAGCTTGAGCAGCATATTTTGAGTGTGTACTGACCCTTGTTTATGTTTTTAGTAATTCTCCTAAAACCATATATGCCAATATTTTATCCATATCCTAGCTTTTACGTTAAAGGTACTTGCATTTATAATGTCACCATTGCCTCTAGACACTGGGTGGGATGTGATGGTAAATCCACTAGAAGTTAAGTATGGTGCAGATAAAGTGCAGTTCCTTTGTGCTAGGCATCTGTATACAGAAGATTTGGTGAGTATATCACCTAGTGTACCTTTTTAGACTGAAGCGAGTATGAATCAGCTAGAATTTCAGATCTCACAATGCCGTAACTCGTGCAAGACTTGCTGAACTGTGCAACTAATGACTTCAATGATTTTTATTTTTAGTCAGAGGTACTAAATATAGCATTATGTTAAAAATAAGTTATAGAGAAAGTATATTTTGGAATATAGATTTAGCATTTTATTGTGCATTTTCTCTGCTAAAGCATATTTGATGCCACTGACCGTGTGTGGATGTTGGATACTGGTCAACTTGGTGACACAGATATTGTTATCTCGTAAGATGGAAAGCAACCCAAGATGCATAAAGAGAATAGTTCTGTTTTGAACTTATTGCTCAAATCTGTCCTAATGAACACAGATGGGGTATTAAAGATGTTAATGAATATAAATGGGGGAAGGGTTATGATAGTTGGATATGTCACCAACAATTAAACTCATGGTAAAAATCCTGAGTGTGAAAATTGCAAACATAAACAAATAAAAAACTAAATTCAACAAATTACACCAAGAATGAAAAAATCTAATTAAATATCTGCATTAAAACATCTAGGGAGTTTATTTTCTGCTTATCTTAGTTTCAATGCCAAATTACCCATAAGGCAAGAGGTGGTAACCTAGGGCCTGGGCTCACACAGTGGCTCAGTGAGCTCCTCCTGTGTCTGTGAGGGTGCCTTCTGTGAGAACTACATACTCAGCCATTTGTTCACTCACTTCAACCCCACTCACCAGAAGGTTCCCAGCTGCAAATTTTCATGTATCACAGGGGGCACATAATTCCCTCTTACAACATGCATTTCGTTCATGATTTTGCCCCTTTCTCCCTCCTCCCAGTATCTTTGCCAGATGCTGGAATAGCTCTTTAGCATGGCAGAGAAAGGTGTATTCATGGCAGATCAGGAGACCACTCAGAAAACATGAGGACTTAGGGTAGGAGGTGGGATGCGGAGAGAGTGGGTCTTGGGAAAATGTGAAAGAGCCACACATCAAAACAGATACAGTCAGGCATTGAGAACAATCAGAAGAGAGAGGCCAGTAGTGGAGAGCTGTTGGCAGGTAGCTGGTAAAAAGCCTTGCCCACATTGTTTATTTTCCCCTCTCTATCCAGCATGCATTAGTGCACTTTAGCACTTTGAATCTCACAGGTCACAGCCACCTCCTAGTGCTTTCGATACCCCTCTTCCAGTGACTGGAGGCTTCCCTAATACATTGTCAACTTTACAGAAAATTTAGAAAGAAGCAGACTCTGTGTTTGTTTCCAAGGCTTTACTTGTATATGTCTGTTTATGTTTGTTTGTGTATGTGTTTTTGTGTATCTTTATGTGTTAATGTGTACATGTGTATGTTGTCATGTGTATCTGCTTGTCTTTGTATGTGTATCTGGGTTTGTATGTGTTTCTCATGTTGTTCTTCTGTATGTGCATGTTTCTGAAAGTATAGTTTTATTTGTGAGTGGATGCAATTGAATTTGTGTGTAGGTGTGTTTTTGTGTCTATAAGTGTGTGCCATGTGTCAAATATACCATTTGTTTACCTCTGCACCCCTAAATTAACTACCTCATACACTCAAACCACACACACATCTGCATTCATGAACACTAACACTCCACTCAGATACACCTGTGCATTCACACATCCACATTGCTTTCATTCACACACAGTGACACCCACACCAATATATCCCTATTATTCTAGTGTATTGTGTGAGTTTTCATTCTTTAGAACGCTTTTATCTACTCATGTACAAAATTGTTTGCATTAGAGGCCCACAGCAATAATCATGCAACAATGTGCAATCTTAATTTTTTATGCATCGCTGTGATGAAATAGTCATATGGTGTTGTTTCCAAATTTAGGCTCTGGACAGAGAGACACACATAGAGACCTGGGTGATGGGAAGAGACACACAAAAGGGCCAGAGGAAAGAAAAAAAAATATTAGTTTTTTCCCTTAACCACGCACCTTTATTTGAGGAAAAGACTTCTTTATTAAATACACAGCTCTGCCATTGACAGTACTGTGTAGTCAGAACTACAACCTGCATTTGACAGAAAGTACACAGGTAGACAGTCTGTTTGTCTGTAGTTTCTCTGTCTGTCTGCAACCAGGTTGTGAATTAAAAGAAACTCATTCAGTACCGATAAACAAATCTTTCTGGATTTAAGTGAATGGCTACATTCTGAAAAACAGTTATGAGTTGTACAAAAAATATAAAAATTTGAACATGCAAAAAAATACAGCATAACAATGAGGTAAAAAAAACCTATCAAATACATTGAAGTTGGTACATTCAATGCAAAAAATGCACTAAGCTCTAAAATATTTTACACAACTTTGCTACTCAAATGGTTAATTGTTTAAAAAATAACATGTTCCCTAATGTGTCCATGAGTGACTAAATATCAAATAAAGTTGATCAATTTTATACTGTATTATAGCTAATAAAATTTACTTAATTTCACCATAGTGGAAAATTGTTTAATAATAATTCATAAGAAACATGAGCTGAGTCAGATTAACAGCAAATTAACTTCCTCCCATTCAAAATATAATAAAAAGAGAAAACGTTTTATTGTGTAAAACAAATTAATGGACCAAAAAGACCAAGCCAGTTGAGTAATATATAATTTCTTTATTTATTGCCATTTTGCTGTTAAACTGTAAATCACATACCTACTTAGTGGTCTTTATAACTTTTATATTTTTTGCATTTCTGTGAAAGCGTGTTTTGTAATAAAGGCTTGAAGGAACTTTTCATCTCCTGCAAATTTTTCACAAAATGTTAATTTGACAAATTTGCTAAATATATTACCATGGGCAATTAAAAAAAAAAAAAAGGTAAAAGCAATTTTCTGCTTTTTTCTTGGCTATATAGACAAGAAAGTACCTATATTGATATCACATTACAATTGTTAATGACCAGTAAATATAAGCCTCATCCAAAATGCTTTTTATTTTTATTTTTCTAAAATCACTATTTTAAAGAATTAATGTATAATGCTTCACAGTCTTTTAATTGCATTCCTCAAAATAATTTATTTTCCTCCAAGGTCCTTGGAGCCTCATTAAAATTCACTTCCTAAAAATGTAACGTTTTATATGAACATTTAATATAACTTGAAAATAGAGTATCAAATAAAATTGCTTATCATAAGGAGAAATATTCAATGCAGTGGATCTTCGTGTCTGCACTGGACACTTTTTCAACATTTATGTAACTGTTGCCAAAGCATCCGGTGCAGACGTGAAACGCGTTTAGTGCTATCAGGTGTGTGGTACGTATTTTCACACACAGTTTGCTAATTTTACTGTTTGCTTGCCGATACTCTTAGTGTTTTTACCAAATAAATATCAAATAAAGAGAAGATTGTTTTAATGTTAAACCCCTTCTTCACCCTTTCTCCCAGGTGGAGTGCAACATTTGGTTACATTAATGTTGTTTTTGTGTTTTTTTTTACATAGTTAGGCTTAATTAATCAAGCCAATCAAAGTTGTTCAAAGGCTCCGCTCAGGCAGTGAAATTTAATGGCAGTTTTTCATGAAATACAGAAGCCTTTCATTAACTTTCTGAAATTAAGCATTACATGACCGATGTGTTATATTAACAGGCACATCATGCTTTAAAATCCTTTATTGTTTGGCTGGATTACACATTGTCCAATGGAAACTGGAATGTATAGCTTGACAGATACTACACAGATACTAGAGCAGATAATATACACTAAAATAAACAGACAAGCTAATTGATCTGCAATCATGTATTGCATTATACGCTCATTGTAAAATTAGTGATATAGATAAGTTAGTATGCAAGATTTATCTGTACATTGTCTGTGCCCATAAGGCTGGTTTAAGCAAGGTGAATTACCTTTTGTCAATGATGGATACAGTTATTGACAGTGGGAACAAGGATAAGGACAGACAAATTAAGAAGAGAGACTGTAAACCATAATTCAAGTCTGTGTAGAATTATACAGGAGTAAGTTTTAGAATAATCTATGAGTAAATTCTACCAATCATCCTGAGAGAGATTTGTATAATACTCAAGGGACTGGTTTGCTTGCCTGAAAATGGAGAGTTGTATAGAAGATGATATTAATGTGGAACATGTAACAGAAAGCTTACCAAAAACAAGAATTCTATTGAACACTACCATCAGAGACCACGAAGATAGGGACCCCGTGACTGCAAGATGTGTAATCATGGAGAGAAAGAAATACTTCGCTCTTTGATTTTTGGGTTGGTTATCCAATGGATACATATACACTTATGCCGTTCTGTGTAGAGGACCACAAGTATTGATATATGATGAGTGCTTGGCTCTCCTGGCTCCAGTCCTAACCCCACAAT